TTACGAGGAACGAGGACAATTGTCGTCTAGATGATGCAACTACAAAGTTTAGGAAGTTAGGTCGAGGAGATGAATGCAAGGAGCGACGGAATGGAGCAAATGAATGGACGGATGAAGGTCCATAGGTTAATAAAGTGGGAAAGCCTCCAGGGCAAACCATGCACTTCAGGAAAATAGATCGACGAGATCTACCTGTAGAGAAACTGCGAAAAGCAGAGGATCGAAAGATCCTGGTATATGTATGCATACGGAGCTCAGTTGTAGAGCTCACAATCGAACGAGAGAGAAAGAGAAAACGAAACGAATAGCCAGCCTACTAGACAGTAGAGCAGGAAGGATATTGATTAAATTAGAGAAAATGTGCGTTCAAGTTCACACCTTCTCAACACGTTTAAAAAACAAACATCAGAAAGAGGAGCTTGGATCCAGGTTGTCAAACAGAAATGAGAAGAATTGAGAAGTATGTAAAGATGTCTACGGAGTTAGAGGTATCATCGTCGAGTAAGTATCCCATCTTCGATTGGAAAGAACACCTGGCCATCTGATGATGATCGGATAACCATCTGATTTGAGTCACACATCCCCAATCACGAACCGTGATTGTGGATCCCGAGTCGTCTGTCCGTCATACGAAAATACCTTTCTGACACCTGAAAAGAACTGGAAGAACCAGCTCGACTGAGACTGTCGATTGTCGATGTCGCCCAGCTCAGCTCAAAGAACAGAGAGAGAGGAGAGCTGAACGGGACTGCCGCTCAAGAATCAGCCTGAGCCCACAAAGAATAGTGAAGGCTTGAGGAGCAATCGAATCTCTAAGAAAAGAACTCTGTCGCATGTCGCTGAGAGCGTTCTGTACGGTACTATCTAGCTACGGTACTACCGGCACTGGTACCAGGTAGCGAGGAACAAAGATACAGCCGACCGAAGTACTGTAGATTATTTGTTTTCCTCGGCTGTCCATCTGTCTTCAAGAAATCTTGTATTCAGCCGTGTTCTGGCATATTTCTCATCCCTCGTTCCCCTTTGCTTCCGTAATCATTTTATTTATTTAAAAAAGCTACCGGTACTCTGAGTAGCAAGCCCGGTACTCCTCGACTGCACCCAACATCCAACATGACAAAGACACCCAACATCGAAGACACGAGCGGACCCTTTGCAGCTCCAAAGAAGGAAGGGAAGAGCAAGATCAAGAGCAAACCTCGCGAAGTGACACCCTCGACCCTCCAGAGGAGGAGATTCCTCTTGTCGATGATTGAAGAGGTCCTGGCTATGGTTGATGATGACGACCTTGCCGACTAAAAAGAATACCTTGGAGAAAGAAAATATGTTGGACAAAAAGAAGAGACTGGGAGAGACGAACGCGCCAGGCCTCAAGTTGAATGCCGACATCGCAACCATAGCTATTTGACTGACTTGGGAACATATTGCACAACGATAAAATGGAAAAGCTACTTGACTTTGGAATGCGTGCAGAAGCCTTCACTACATGTAGTTACAGCCTAGATATCGGGAGCAGTTCAGTTATCCTTTTCGTATCGATTCGATTCGAATGCCCGGACCGCATGCCTGCATAGTGTTGCCTATATGGTTTCAACAAGGAATTCATCTTCATCACTTTCTTTCGCTTGGACGGCTCCAAGGCACTGAGCTCTGCCTCCAGCTGATGGATCGTATCCAAAGGTATTGCGCAACTGTTGCGTATTGGGGTACAACGCCCACGACAGGAACGCATCTTCCGTGCCTGCACAAGTCACATTGGGAGTCTTCACCGTCAAGGACACTTTCCCATCCCTCGTCGCGCAAAGATCTCCTGAATCATTCTGCAGACTCATCAGGCGATCGTTTCGAAGCCAAGTATAATCATGCCAGAACCGCTGCGCCCTGTTGTCATGAACGCATTTCTGCAGCGTTAGCTGCACACCCTGATTAGAGTTGAAATCGTGCATGGTTTCGTTCACAACCGTGACACACAGGCCGCTTGCAAGGTGCTTAATTTGCCAATTGGAGGTGACTTCAAAGCGTTCTGCATCCGTGGTCAAGCCATTGGCTGTGCAAAGACCCAGCTGCATTGACCAAGTGGCTCCTGCTTGTGTCGTAGGCGATGGATTTGAGACCGCCCAATTAGGCCCTACCGGCTCGATATGAATGTGACCAAACTGTACAGCAGCATAGGCACTGGCTCCAAGGGCAACGAAACCACTGTCCCCAACTCGGATGGAGACATCATCCTTCCCAACAACCACATCTCCGTTGACACTTGCTTCTACTTGGTGTCCCTGCGTGCTTAAGCCCAGAATATGCCAGTAATCTTGTCGTAGTGAAGCCGGAAGGGTGCCATGTGCGATAGCAGCTTTGGTGTCAAAGCCCGCCATGGGCGCTCCACCATACACCAAGAACCAAGATGATGTATTGGCGCACATGGAGACCCCGTTTGACCAAAACTGGTCTGTTCGAGTGGAAATGCAGACAAAAGTACCAGGATCAGGCAACCGGAATGAGACTTGAAGACCCACATCTTCCCATTCGGTCATTCCTACTACCGTCATTGGACCATTTTTGGTAGTCCCCTGCCAACCAACTGGAACCTGGGGTGCGCTCTGGACCAGAGCACGACGCTGCCACAGTTCACCATTCTTGTCTGTATTGCCATCGTCAATGAAGTGGATTTCAAATGCCCCCATCTGATCGGAAAGATACTTTGAGTAGCAGTTGTCGCACTGATAGGAATTGAAATCGTCGTAGTAAGGAAGTGGGAAGCGAGCATCGGGTTTATTGCGTACTTTGGCTGTTCCTTTGTTCCCCGCCTGCATCAAATTGGTCACAGTAAATACACTCCCAGCGGTCACATTCAGGGAGATATCATAGGAGCGTACACCCAACTTGGAAGATTTTACGAAGGAAGATACTCGAGACAACACCCCAGGATTATCCAACTTTTGGAAGAGGACCGTATCCTCCTGTTCTAGATTCGAGTACCATGTCTGTGTTTCACCGTCAGCGCTGTCCTCGTCTGCTTCCGACAGGATGGGCAAGTCAACAGTGATCTGAAACACCTCGTCTTGAGTCGACCAGTTCCATAACCGGGGACGAGTGCAGGGTGCATGCTCTCTGGAGATTTTCACCACAATAACTGTAAAGTATTTCTGATCAGGGGACACTAGAGTCATGTAATAGCCTCCTTGGGCCAATTCTCCGGACCCCTTTCCTACGGGCATGTACCTCCATCCAGGAAATGCAAATTGTGTGTAGTGAGCCGTGGCCCAAACGACCGGCATTTGTTCCCATTCGTAGTATCCCGACCAGGGTTGTACGGCGGTGAGCATGGACGAGGCATACCACCCCGTGCCGTGAGCATAACTTCCCACCAAATTCCACATGATATTGCCGGTCATGTTGTTGAGAACGTAGTGTGATGCCATCACCCTGGCCCAACAAGCGGCGCCGTTCAGATCATCATAGCTGGAACTTTCCTCGGATGCCCAAATGGGCGTATCAAAGGAACTGCAGATGGGCCACACACCGCTCTTGTCGTTTGGGTAGTGGAATCCGAGAATATCAGCCGTGTTGATGTATTCCGTGTCATTGACCATGAGAGGACAAAGGTCCTTTGGCTGTCCATCATTGACCACGAGACGCACGTTGTTGAATCCACTGGCATCTAGTACTTTGCGCATCGCCAGGACGTATTCTCTGTTAGTGCCACGCTCATTCCAAATTCCCAAATAGTCAATGTCAATGCCATGTACTTCTTTGGCTCCCTTGACCCACTGAAGGGTGTAGTTTGTGAGTCTATCAATGTGCTGGAAAGGATTCTTGACGTCATCCGTCACCCATCCCGGAAAAGCCCATGGGAGACCATACGTAAGAATGTGTGGGTTTCTTTTTTTGGCTTCCTTGAGTAGCCACCATTCATAGCCTCGGCTCAAGTTCAAGTCATCCTGGGAATGCATGTGAGAACTCTCGGATCCATCTGTCGAGTAGCTGTCGCCTCCAATTTCGACCTTGAGAATGTGCAGCGAGGCTCCAAAATTGGGGAGAAAAAGAAAATCCAGAATCTCTGCCTGAACATCAGGGGGATAATCTACCAGGAGGCGACTGGTAGCGCCTCCACCACTAATGGCCCCAACCCCGTCAAAGCGGGGACAGTCCACACAGACACCGTCCACGAATAGCCCTGGAATGTTGGCACTGGTTGTCACATTATTGGTGATGGCAGCACCTACTAGACTCGGACAAAGCAACAGGGACACAAAGAGCCTCTTGACCGACATGGTCAGTGTATTTAAAGCTAGTACCGGTAGGTAGATGAAAGAATAAGCAACTACTAGTACGGCGTTGGTTTGTGGTTCCTTGTGTTCCCTGTTGTCTCCGTCCTCTTTGACTGTTTGACGCGGAAAAAAGATTTGGTATCCACGACTCCACTCGTGACTGCGATCATCGGCTCAAACGCAATTCTCATCAACACAACATCAGCCCTCGACACAGTTGCATGCAATGAAGCTGGCGAAACTTTTTGCTGCTATACAAGTACTAGCAGGCAACATAATCACAGACAAGAGTACATGCACAATGAGCAGGAGACTGGATTGTTTGACCTTTCGCGTCCCCAACGCTCCAGCCTGTCAATCCTTCTACGAGACGGTGCTGGGCATGTCCAAAAAGAATGGCTCGTCGTCGCCCAACAACGCCAAAGTCTTGCTGGGATACAACCATCCAAAGGGCATGAAGCTTTCGTTCCACGAATCTCCAAGCTGCACGGTCCGAAAATCCACATCACAAGATGCCTACTGGAAGATTGGAATTACGGTCAAGAATCTAGATCATGCTGTTGGATTTCTACAGCTACAAGGAGTGCCCGTCTCCCAACCGGCGCAATTCCTGGACATTGGATACTTGTGTCATTTGCGTGATCCAGCCGGAATGGCCATTGAATTGTTGCAGCAAGGCTTTGAAGGAGACGAAGAACAACCCGTAAATGATGATGATGCAGATGAGGAGCAACATCCCATTGGATGCCAAGCTATCTTGGCACACATCACCGTGCGATCGACCAACAAACAAATGCAACAATGGTGTCAAGAGACCATGGGCATGAGACTCATGTCGGTGCAGCCGGTAAAGCCCTACAACTTTACACTGTACTTTTATACTTGGTCACACGAAGTACTGCCGGAATCGGACGACTTGGAGGCGGTCAAGAACCGTCCCTGGTTGTGGGCACGTCCCTACGGTCTCTTGGAGATTCAGCAAAAAGATTCTGATCAGCAGCTTCGGGCCACCGGCGCCAATGAAGCTGGTCCTACGGAAATCACAATAGTCGAAGAAGATCCTTCCAGTGGCGACAAGGTCATTGCGACGATTGACTGCCTCCAAGATTTGGGTCTATAAAAATACAACCTGTAGTTCTTCTTCTACCGTATCCGCGGCAGCTACATGGTGGGTTGTCAGAGGCCATCCTGTCTCGCAACCAGCCAAACTACACTATTCGCCATTCCATTTCACTCTATGATGTACTTTTCTATGCAATGCCTCTGGCTAGTTTGTCTCTCACCTGTATTATGCATACAGTATGGACGACCAACATGTAGTAACACCGAAATAGATCAAGACTTTCCAAACTGCCAACAGCGGTCTCATCACGTTCTTTTGGGTTATGTCTACCACCTCAAAAAGTGATTGAAGATTCACATTATTTGTCTTGGTTACACCGTCCAAAAATCCATCTCCATCCCCTGCAAGCCCCAAAGCTGACCCTCTCAATTGCCTCCATCAATCAAGAGCTTCTTGGTTCACAATTTCTTCACATCATGGTCCCCCAAGTGACCTGGTGGTGCATTACCGAAGCCCCTGCGCCTCTTCACCTCGGCAGGTAAACTGCCTGAGTTCTCAACCCCTTTAATGCTATTTCCTATTTCCTATTTTCTATTTCCTATTTCCTATTCCGTCTCCTTGAGACGGCGCACCTTTTGGTTACCCCCTCAGTTGCACTCTGGAACCGATTTGCGGGCGTTTACTGTGTGAAATAGAGTAGCCGCACTTCAGTTGCAGAATCAACGGTCATGTGTATCCATAAGTAACAGGTTCTTGTTCGACAAAAATAGATCGATTCGTGGGAAAGATGACCGTTGAAGTTACTAAGGTTAAGGATAAACTGATTGAGTTCGGTCCATCGATACCGTATCATTGAAGGCACATCACTGACTTCTCTCCCTCATTGTATTCCTATGGTGAACAGGAGAGAAATCCAAGCTTGGCCGACAACAGTGGTATACGTATCGGTAGGAGGAGTTCTTTATCCAATCGGCCGATCGATCGATCGATCGATCGATCGATCGCAATGAGGTAAGCCTCTTATCAAGCCTGTTATTGAAGGTACAGCGCTGACTTCTCTCCCTCATTGGATTTCTATGGTATTCAGGAGAGAATTCCAAGCTCGGCCGTCAACAGGTGAATTGTTTTAATTATTCGAATCGAATCGATTGGTCGCACCTCTGTTATTCAAGCCTCACTCAAGCCGGTCGTCTCCGGTGTAGATTGGAAAACCATCCCTCATTGAATCCTATGGACCATGGGATGGCAGTCAGTTCTCGGCCCATGATGGCAAAGTTGGTGCAATTTGAAAAACAAGAGTAAGTCTCCGGTCGTCTGCTGTTGAGCACAGAAAACAAAACTCATATCTATTTGTTGTTTTCTCTGCTGCACTGCCGACGGCCGAGGAAATCCCATTGTCGAGGTCGAACGAACGAACGAACGAACGAACGAACGAACGAACGATCGCTCCGGATAACAACAAGAGAGGAGATCGCTCCGGAGAAAAAGAGGAGGTTCTGTTAACCCCAGCTCTACCAACAGTCTGAACGGTGGAGATCGTCGTCGAGTCATTGAAAGGCAACAAGAGGAGGCTACGCGACAACACACACCAAGAGAGTGGATCCTACTACTGGATTCATCCCTCCAGTGATATTTCCTAGTGTTTGGTTGGTGATTCCTGTGTCGGTATCCATTTTCCTGTATGCACAAGTCGGTCGTCGAGGACTTGGTGGAGCCTGGATTGACAATATTCCTGTATTCATTGTAATGGTGAGGCAATGGAGCGTAACGAGCAAAACCGAACCTGAGTGTGTTCGGTACTATTGCCACTGTCACTGATCGATGAACTCTATGGTAGCTGGCTACGATGGCTAGATTGACAATATTCGGTTGTGCGTGTATTCGTCATAAGGATCCAATGTGAGGTAACGGAGTGCAGCGAGCAAAGTCGAACCTGAGTGTATTCGGTACTGTTGCCACTGTCACTGATTGATGAACTCTACCGTAGCTGGCTACGACGGCTGGATTGACAATGTTCAGTTGTGCATGTATTCGTCATAAGGATCCAATGAAAGGTACCGGTAACGGAGTGTAGCCAGTAAAGCGGAACCTGAGTGCGTTCGGTACTGTTGCCACTGTCATGGATTGATGTAACTCTCTGCCTACCGTACCGTAGCTGGCTGCAATGGCTGAATTGCATATGGATCCAAGTAGCCAGCAAACTGAGGAAACAGGTGACGAAAGCTGAAAAAAGCCGAATTTCCTATTTCCTATTTCCTATTCCGGTGAAGCCAAAGTATAAGGATAGAGATAGCCATAAGCCAACAAAACTGAACATTGATGGTTCAATACAAGTTAGGGGTAGGAATAAATCATTCATATTTAAGGTTAGTTCAATCAGGACAAAAGTACAATAAGCCAGCAGGAGTTGTAAAGGTTAGAGTTACAATAAGGGAATGGCAGCTGGTAAATTATAGAGTAGCGGGCGGCAACACACGACGTAGTCGGGTGTTGTCGCCAGGGCTAGCTTTAAAATAAAGAAGGTTGCAATGAGGGAATGAATGATACCGGGCGGCAACACACGACGTAGTCGGGTGTTGTCGCCAGGGCTGGCTTGAAAGATGGGTGCAATCTCGAACATGATCCTCCTTCTTCTATCTGTCTTTCTGCCGAGGTATCGCAGCTCCCGCTGACTTATATTACTAGCTCTAGAGAGCAAGGGATTGGTAAAAAAGTAAGTTCACTAGCTTGCTTTGCTACCGTAGCTAGCTAATGAACCTTAAATAAACTCACATTATTATTATGCGTTTTGAGTGTTGCAGTGAAGATCGCCGACCACTGCCCTGCCGCCGACTGCCAACAAAGCCCACCGTACAGTACCAGCTACCGGTAGCTAGAGAGAAGAAACATGCTATTCACCCTTCGCGGCATCATCTTCGTTGCCGTTGTTGCAGAATCTGCCAGGGCCTTTGCCCAGCAATCCAGTAGTGGTAGCACGTTCAAGGAACCTTCCATCAATCTCCAACGGCCACACGAAGATCGATCTCCATCTGACTCGCTTCGGCATCTGGCAAAGGAGTGTCAACGACTTGGAATTGATTCATTCGATGTGTATGGCGACTTCAATTCAACCGCGGAGTCTTCCTTTTTGAGGAGATTTGAAGCTGAGATTGCCGAGGAGTTGGGAATGGAAGATGCTGTGTTTATGCCTTCGGGTGGGATGGCTCAGTCCATTGCGCTTCTGATCCACGCCGCCAACAAATCACCATCCTTTGCGTGTCATCACACTTCGCATCTGCTACTGCATGAACAGGATGCCTACAGAGAACTTCTACATATGGATCCCGTCATCATATCGACTGAGCAGCGTGCAACGGGCAAGTGTATGTCTATACCACCCATGATGTTTCGTGACGTGCAGCAAAACCTCGACCAGCATGGCAATACAGTGTCAACACTCATTCTAGAGCTCCCGCATCGTGAAATTGGGGGTAAACTCACACCTTGGCAAGACGTCTTGCAGATGCAAAGCTATTGCAGGCAGCGCGGGATCAAGTTTCATTTGGATGGAGCAAGGATATTTGAAGCGACAACGGGCTATGGTGACATGTCACTGAAGGAGATTGCTTCCGTTTTTGACTCGGTCTACATATCATTTTACAAAGGTCTGGGCGCGATATCCGGCGCCATGCTATTGGGATCTAAAGATTTCTGTGATGCAGCTCGAGTTAATTTGCGACGGTTTGGGGGGAATCTTTATACGCTTCTGCCGTATGCGATATCGGGCTGGTCTGGATTCCGACGTCAGTGGCGACTAGAAAGTGGCGAAGACGAGCAACTTGCCGGTGCGGACGTACCGGACCCAATCATGTCCTTTCAAGACAAGAAGAACAAGCTAGTGGGTCTCGTCGGAGCTCTAGCGGCTGAAAGCCAAATAGCTAGAGTACTTTCATTTGACCCTGAAGAACCGGAGACGAGCATGGTCCACGGATTTCTCAGGGCATCACCCAAAGATTGCGCCAAGGCTCTCGACCAGGTCGAAAAGGACACTAACGTCAGAGTTCTGAGCCGTGTACGTCCTGTCGAAGAAAGCGAGCCTCAGTATAAGGTTGGTTTCAGGTCCAGGTTTGAGTGGGCCATGGGCGAAAGCAATGGCCATGTAAGTGATGAAACCTATATGCTTGGTTTGAGAGCCTTGGCTGGCGCCTTGAGCTCAGAAGGGGATTGAAACGGCTCAACTTGTCGAATGATTCGATTCAATGGAGAGACTCCCCAGCACCCAACCGCCACTCGGCAAGGAAACCAAATCTTTGACCCTCAGCCAGATGGACATGTACCGGTACCGGTACAATTTTCTCGCGTGAGAATTGAGAATTGCCATCCCGTGCCAATAGCTAACCATACCGCACCCGAGAGGGACGGCCACAGAAACAAACAAGTGCTAGCTGAAGGAGACAATTCAACCTTTATGATAGCCGTTTCGTTAAAAGAAAACATGTGATGCACTCAGCTCGAGCATATCATTTAGAATCTTGTTGGCTAGCTGGCTGGAGCTACGCCAGCTAGAGCTACCAGTATGCCAGCAAGCTTTCAGCATCGAATGAATGAATCATAAAAACAATTCTAATCTCTCGGCTGCTGGATCTAGCCAGGGCGGCTAGTCAACATGTTTGTAGTCGCGCTACCGGTAGCCTGTGGTTGCTCCAGGAGCAGTACCTGGTACCTAGTACCTGGTATCCGTGATTGGTTGATGTTGCTGTTTTTGGTCCTTTTACTAGAAGGCGACGTCACACGGAAAAAAATGGATTCACAAGCTTTATTCTTGCTGTAGATGCCTCAGCCAATCAAAGCTTCCGGAATACTAGAATGAGAATTAGAAAGAAACAGGCCTCTTGCTCGCGCTTGTAGGTGTTCCGCCACAAATTCGAGATCACGAGGCCTGTCGTCGGGGCTGCGATCTGCTCCTTGTAACAGATCGCGTGACTTCAGTGTGGCGAGTAGAGTGCTGTCGAGCTGTCGAGGAGCTTTCGCGCTACTATGCATAGTATACCAGTAGGGACACAAGAGCTAAGCACAGATACAAGATGTAGAGACTAGTAGCTAAATGTAGGTGCTTCACTAGTATGTACAGATGGAGTTGTTGTCTTAGGACTATCAGATAGTATCGGATAGAATCGGCAGCCTCCTGGCAGCCGAAAATGATTGGAAGGGGCATTTCTTTGTTCAGGCAGCAGCCGCAAACTTGAGTTCCTTGAGGATGACAATGTTCAGGAGAAATTCTTCGACCTCCTGGGCTGTGAACAGTCCTGGGTTGGCATAGCAGTAGCTAACCGCGTTCAATAAGGGCTTTTTCAATTCTTCAAGCTCATCATATCTTCCGAATTCTTGATTCATCAGCTGAGCCTTGTTGCTTAGCGCAGCCACGAGCACACTGGCGGCTTCGCTGCACCCCGCGGCATGCTTGACATGCTGCAGGCAAAAGTCGTAGAGAGTTGAAGCCTTGGTAATCAAATGGGACTTTTCCCCCACCTGAAAACTCTGAAGGTGGAAAGAAAGAGCCATGTTAAACTCGCACACCGAGAAGAACAGGGCGAGGTGAGAGGCTGAGAGAGAGCCTAGTGGCCGACTTGAATTGAACAGAATGGCATCCTTGAAGACAAAATATGGTTGACTCTCGTGGGAAGAAGCAGCGCCACGACTGTACGGGAGGACGAGAGTTGGCATCTTGTTCAGAAAACCTGTATTGGAAGCAACGGGAACAATCGCCGCCTCTTCGAACGCTTCGGCACCCCCTGCAAGGATCCTCAGGGCGTTGCGAAAACAGAGAAAACCATTCTGCATGTCGCCATGAGCGCAGAAGGTCGCTCCTTCCTCGTTCATTTCAGCAGCTTGTTGCACAAAGTTCATGGTTATCTTTTGCTGCGAGACCTTATTGTGGGATGACCACCCTCGATGAGATAAAAATACTAATATGTTGAGGAAACCGGTGGGGACAGGCGACTCCCTCGATTCTGCAGCAATTCTTTCATGTGTCAAGAATGAGGCTGCGCTGGGCGGAAAAGGTCAGATGGAACGACCCACACTTCCACGGAGAACTCCTTGAATCTTTTTCTCCGAACAGTCAATCGTTCAATCTTTGGCCAACGAAAGCCCTCGTACACGTGTGTGCAGGATCTCGCTGCGCTGGCCAATGTACAGTGTAGTACTGTGGACTGACAGGGCTACTGACAGTCTCTATCGGTACGGTACTGTAGCTGTACTTGTGGGTACTAGTAGGAGCTGAGGAGAGTTACTCCGAGACTGGATGCGGCAGGACTTTGGTGTCTTAGTGTTTTCAATCAAATACCACCAGTCGCCAGGCCACGTAGGAAAAGCTAGACCTAACTGGTTTGACTTATTAATAAATACCAGTACCCGGGCAGCTCAGTTAAAAGAAGACCTAAAGACTATCCAATCAATAAATAACATTTTCAGATGTGTCATAACACTTTTCTCACAGAAAAAGAACCCCATTCCAAACGAACTGTTCCTCGAATGTTCTTTGACATTGCTCCCGTGTTCGGATTTTGGTTAAGCTGTCTATCCTAACGGTAAGATACTCTGAGCTTACAGTCACCAATGTCCGCTGGTGTATTAATAGTGGTTTCCACAATTCCAATCATTTGCACATTCCCCACAGATCCCATCTTGTTGTTCTTGGCATTAATTAATTAAATTAGGAGCTAAATTGCTAAATTAGGTCTCCTTTTTATGACATACGTTAGGTCTAGCTACCGGTAGCAAGTGGTATACCGGTACCGCACTACAGCTTTGAAAAACAAAGCCTGAGGCGTGTGAAAATCTGTATTTTTACGAAACATGTTCTTGAGAAACGTCAGACGGTCCGAAAGACACTGGAAAAAAGGTTGCTGTCAACAGTCAGTCAAGCTGTAAAAGCACACGATTCAATGCCACGCCTGTCACGAATTCTTTGGAACCTGTGCGGCTTTTGCTGGCGGTGGCGTGGAACCAAAGCTTTGCTCAAAAACTGACCCGAAAAGTCAGGATAGCAGACACAATTTGCAAAACACACCAAACGAAAAATCCAACATGCCAAAGAACTCCCAGCACCCGTCTTGGACCACCGCCAGAATGGCTCGCAACGAAGATGGCAGCAGAAATGCTGCATCCAACCGTCGCACCACTTCCACAACGACATCTGTCAATGGAGCACTCAGGGACGCTACCGGTACCCGTACATTCATCTTGCTGCATCCTCTCGATCCGCGGCCAACGTTGCATCGAGGGATCGATACATGAATCTCCCTGCATCCTCCCAGGTCTCCTCGAACGCTTTGCCAATGGCTCGTCGCATGCGTGGTTCTGTGTCCTTGCATACTGCTAACCGCAATGGAGAATCTCGGAATGATCGTTTGAGACGCTTGTCGGCGATCATTCAAGACGCATTGGACATTACCAACGATGTTGCTTGATCTATGAACAAAACGGGCAGTGCTACGTTACATGGTACCAGTACTATCTGTGATCTGTGCGCACAGCGTGCAGTGCACGCCATCCTTCTCTACTTCACATCAGATCCTTGCATATTCAGCACGCCTGCATATTCAGCCCTTCGAGAGCAGCGATCCACTGAGCCTGTCAATTTGTCCACCTCCTCCACCAAGCTCTGTGTTCTATCTTGATGCAGGTCTCTGTTGTTCGTACCAAACAAACAGTACTAGCTTAAAATAAGTCAATGAGGCAAACAGCAGACTATGTTGCATTTCGTATGAATAGTTTCAGCAAGCATAGCCGGGAGATGCCACGGCTCCAGGCTCCACCGGACCAGTGAGGGGAGAAAAAGTGGCTTCCAAGCTTGAGAGGCTCCCTTGTTGCTTGGCAAAAACTTGAGCTCTTGGAACTCAAACCAACTTCGTACTCCTTCGGGTATTGTTCGGACTGAGCCCTTTAGTTAGCTAGGTAGCAAAGAGCAAAGATCATTTAGCCAGGGCAAATGTGGCTTTCCATGAGGCTGTCTGCGATACATACCGGTACACTGATGCCTTTGAGTACTAGGTAATATCGGCTTATGAAGCCCGCCGAGTGCGAGGAAAGCAACTACTGGTGCTGGGGTGGCTGGCAGAGAAGACATTAAAGAGGCCTTCCCACTACATCTGAAACAAGCAAGTACTACCCCCGCAAGGATAGTAAGGTTCACAATGCCCAAACCCGGTCGTCCGTGTAGCATTCGTGTTTCGTGCACTCATCAAGACCACAGTGACGACGCTTGATCTCATAAATAAATCCGCAGCAGATCACACGCAAGCAACTATCGCTGCTGTATGTTCATATAGTAATTGAATACTTAGCTAAATGGGGCTCAAACTGACGCTTCGCGTGCGATTGATTCAGCTCGGTGCAGTCATTCGAGGTCCGAATACCCCACTTTTGTGGCTCGCACGAGCCGTGGGCAATCTCATGACTTTGTTTTCTTCTTTTTCTTACTTCCCAGCAGCCGATTGACTTGTGCGTTGTTGTAATCCCTATCCACCATACCCGCCTTCATCGATGGCAGATAGTCTCGGAAGGTTACCGGTTTTTTGGGCTGTTGTTTGTTCTTTCGTTTGCCTTTCTCATTCTTGGGATTCTTGTTCTTGACGACCCGTCGTTCTTGGATGGCATCCATGACGGCCTTGGAGTCTAGCTTTTTGGGTCGTGAACATTTCGGATTCCACACAGAACTCCAGCCTCCACTCGGAGGCCCACCTTGTCGATAGGCTCCCACCAGCAATGCTTCCGCCCGACTTGGAAGGTAATGGACGGGATCGAGTGGATCTTGTTGATTTTCTTCGCTGCTGGTAATGGTCCCGCACGACGACGACGCGGAGGATACCGAGCTGGCATTGTCATTATTATTGTTGTTGGTTGGTGTTGCCCCGAGGACGACGGGACCGCCCTTCCATTCGAGCATTTGCAGAATGGCCGTCATTCGTTGTCGCATTTGTGCCGCACTCATGCGTTTGTCTAGATTGGGATGCCATGCCTGTTCGAGAATGATCTTGATGGTTCTCGGAAAGTGATACTTTGCGAGACTGGGTCGTTGCCCCTGTGATTGAATTTGATGAAAGTGTCCGTCCCGTTGCAGAATCGACCTTGAGTATGGCTTTCCTTCGGCGAGCATTTCAAAGTAGATCATGCTGAGAGAGTAAATGTCGGCTTTGCAATTGTATCCGAAATAGCGGTGCTTTGGTTCGGACGCCTCGTTGTTGGAGTTGTCAGCGCTACTCTTGACGGTTTTATTATACCGGTATTTGACATCCGTCATGGTGGACGCTCGGCGAGTTTCCGGTACCGACTCTGGTGTGGTTCTGGCCGTGGTCGATGCACTGCGTGCTTTGCGTACTGTATGTCGCACAAAGGGATACGACTCGGGTGCCCTATAATGCTTGGCATCGGCTCGTGGCATGACCTTTTGCGCCGCACTGGTGTCTCGACTAAATGTTTTTCGGATCATCATGCGTCGTCGAAAACTGGATGGACCCGCGGTGGAATGGGAACTTCCGTCCAAGCCGTTGTCCTTAAAGGATGACGACGACATGAATGGGTCTTCGGGATTGTTGTTGTCTTCATCGTCGTCTTCAATACCTGCCAAGGTACTTGTACGACGCCCACCATGTAGAGATGTTGACAGTCCGCCGCTACCTCCAGACATACTGGAACCAGGCCCACGATGAAGAGACGTCGACAGTCCGCCACCGCCACCACCGTTACTACTCGCAGGTGCTCGCACCGTCTCTGGAGGCAAGAGAGCGCCATTGGTTGGCACTTCTTTGCAGAATCCAAAGTCAAAGAGTTGAATGGTGTGATGATTGGGATAATCTTTGAATCCGATCGTGTTGGGTCGCAAATCTCGTACGACAATGCCCCGATCGTGCAGATACTCCAATGCGTGTACAATTTGGAGCGCATAATTGGTCTGCAACGCGACGAGATCCTGTGGATATCGTTCTGGTTTTCGTTGTTGTTTGGTTTTGGCCTTGCTGTTGTTGTTGGAGTTGGCACTATTGCCCGAATGATTGCCACTGCCACTACTGCTACCGGTGGCGCTCCCAATACTACTCCCAATACTGCCAATCCCAGTCGCACTCCCAATACTACTGCCCAAACTGCGCAGGGAATGCTGTGAGTGTGCCAAACTGTCATCCTTTTGCTTTTGTTTCCGCAGCTTGCTGCTGGTGTGACTCTTATGCATGTTGAGTTTGGTCGTATAACTGACTTTCAAGTCCATGTGTACGGACTCGAGAATGAATCGTTCCGTCGGACATTCCTTTTCGAGTTTGAGTTTGTTGTGTTTCCACTTTTTCATGCGCTGTTCGAGTGTTTCTCCCATGCGGTCCGTGACGAGATAAAAGGCATCGAGCTGTTGATTGTCAAAAGCCGCCTTGTCTTTGAGGAAGAATCCTCGATACGCTAGAATGAAGGGATGATGCAGGTTGGCCAAGTAGAGACATTCCCGCACCAGTATCTTGGCCGCAATGTTAAAGTGAGTGGCAATGTAGTCAAACGTCGTCGAGTTGATGGCGCTCGAATCCGGAGGTGGTTTCACGTAGATGCGCTTGATGGCGTACGAGTTGTTGCTGTTGTGCTTGCTGCTGTTACTGGCAGTATTGCCATCGCCCGTGTTTGTAGTAGCGGCAGTGTTCGTCGTCGTACCGGTCGTAGTGGCGTTGTTGCTGTAGTGCATGACCCCCGCCAACGGCTTGGCCCTCTCTCGACTCTTGCTGAATCGGAATCCCCGAATCTCGTAGGCTTTGGAGAACTCGCCCTCCCCCAAACACTTGCCTTCGCGAATCTCGTTGGGTTCTATAAACGCCGACGGCAACGGACGTTCGGCAATGTAGGGCATGGTATCTTCGTCGACAAACGATCCCAGATGCGTCAATGCTCCCATAAAGTCATGATTCGAGTACTTTTCGCGACCGCCGCCCACGCCAACACTCATCCGACTGCGACGGGAACCACGAGACGCGGAACTCTCATTGGTAGGAATGCGACGAATGCCCAGCATGTGCAGCGACGACTGGTGCAGTGAATGCGTCGACAGAGAGTCCAACGAGGATGCCATGGATGCCATGGACGTCATGGTTGATGGTTTGCTTGGTGTGTTGTGTTCTGTACTACTTCCTGCCTTTGTGCTCTTTCTCTTGCTCTGTCTCCCACTCCCACTACTAGCTAGCTAGATCTAGTCTCTCTTGTCGCTACAGTGCAGTATCAATTGGGTTGATGTGCTTACAGTCTCTAGACTGGATGTGAAGATTGAATCGAATCAGCCTACGCCCAGTGTTTCTCTGAGTAAGAGACATCCAAAGAAAGCACCAATCAAGCACTCTCTCAACTGCCCACTCTTTGTGTGAGGTGGTTGTTTCCTTTCGTGAGATTATTTGTACTGTAGAGTGGATTCTTATCAAGCGAGCTTTTTGTGGGAGAAAGCAAAAAGTTCGCGGTGGAGCTACGGTGGTCAAGCACATTTTGCAGTCTAAATCTCAAAAGCCTCTTTCTGATCCGTACCGGTTGAACGGACACTTTGGCAAATAAGGTCTTGTCAAACTGAAGCCAGGATTTAATAAAGATTCTCGATGTGACAGATGCAGGTCATTACTATGACCACTTACCCGAGCTTACTTAGGGAGGAAGCATGCTCCCTCACCACACCACTGTCCGGCTCACAAGGTAACAGTGGTGACCACGTTAACGCACAGCTTCCCGCAGCGCTCGGTTCTTGCTCGATAAAGCCAACCCTAGCGGCAAACGAGACCGAGACACGCGACAACGAGAAGCCAATCAGATCGCACCATTTTTGCCACGTCACTCGCCAAAATCTCGTACCTCACTTTTGCAAACGAAATTTGGCCCAGATGTCGGAGCTCCATTCGTGCATACGAGACAGTCAACATTGGTCTGTTTTGCACCGTGCGTATGTGTATTTGGCAAAAGCTACACCATGGTGGGAGAAATTTCAGAACAAACTGTACGGTCAAAGAAATTGGAAGGGTTGGTTGCAACTATGCTATGGAAGGAATGGATCTGGAACAAGACAACGACGATCTTTATCTTCCAAGACACTTGGGAGAGTGTCTGAAAGAAGACGGCAGTCTAGATGTGGACAAGTATCGCCGGTACATGGACCATCAGGATGAGGTGGACGAGTTGGAGGAAGCCAAACTGCTGGCTATGTATGACAGCGACACAGGCAGTGGCAGTGGAATGGACGTCGAAGAAGACACCGCCCAAACGTCTAAAGCTAGAAAACCAAGGAGCCCTCGGCGATATCAATCAATCAAGCCCTTTTACTTCAACGAGAAGGGAGAGAAGGTGTTCTTGAAGCCAAAGCAGACGCACTGGTATCTTTGCTACGTTGTATCGCCAATTCTGGACTGTGCAAAGTTTCAAAAGAAGTTTCGAAGACGTTTTCGGTTACCCTACAAAGAGTTCCTGGCAACATTGGAAATGATGAAAGAGGCATCGCACTTTGTTCGTTGGCGATCCAAGGATGCTGTTGGGCAAGAAAGTTCCCCTCTAGAACTAATGGCCCTTGGAGCCCTTCGATATTTGGGTAGAGGATTGACATTCGATGATTTGGAGGAATACACGGCAATCAATGAGGAAACCCACAGGCAATTTTTTCACATCTTCATCGACTGGGGCTCTACAAACCTGTTCGAGACATTCGTTAAGATGCCTGTTACTCGACAAGAGTACGCAAAACATCGAAAAGAGTACAGTGCTGGTGGCCTGAATGGAGCAGGCTTTTCAACAGATGCCACGAATGTTGTCATGTGGCGATGCTCCCACAACCTCAAACAGGCAAATATGGGATGGAAACAAAGTCATCCTGCGCGAACTTACAACATGAGCTGTAACCACCGAAGAATGATATTGTACACAACAAAAGGCCATCCTTCTCGTTGGAATGACAAGACACTTGCGCATTTCGATGAATTCTTGGGACAAATTCACGATGGAAAGATATTGCAGGACGTTTCCTTTTATCTGTACTCGTGGGCTGGCCAGGTGGGCAATTCGGAGATTGAAGCTACAAAGTACAACGGTGCTTGGGGACTTGTGGATAATGGCTATCATAAGTGGGCCTGTACTCAAGCGCCAGCAAAGAATAATCTACTCAGATCTGAGGAGCGATTAAGTGAGTGGATAGAGTCATTTCGAAAAGATGCCGAGTGCTGCTTTGGAATTTTGAAAGGAAGGTGGCGAGTGCTGAAGACAGGCATTCGGTTGGAGGGATCTGAAGCTGCCGACAAGGTGTGGCTTACCTGTTGCGCACTCCACAACTTCCTCCTCATTGCAGATGGGAATGATGAGTGGGATGGAGCAGTGGGTCAGAATGAAGTAGAAGAGATGCGACGCATGGCACCATTCGCGCTGCAAAGACTGAGCGACAATGAATTACGTGAATTTGGAAGCAGAGAGCACGAGCGATCAGCTTGCCAAGAGGAGCAACGTCAGGCAGCAATCCGCAGACAGAGGGGACAATTACAGGAAGAGGAGAACGAGGAACCTGACTTTGTCCCAGGTGATGACGACCACTTGACTGGAAGTTCGCAGAAGCTGCATCCAATCTATGGAGGAGTCCTCGTGAATTCGCTCTGCTACGACGACTTCCGATTCAGATTGGTGGAGCACTTTGACATTCAATTTAGACAAAATCGCATTAAGTGGCCAGAGAGACGTTCGAACGACAGCAACAACAACAACTAACAATAATTCTTTATCTAATTTCTAATTTTTTTCTTCTCCAGCATAGTATTCGTGGGCATTGTCATGGAAGAGGTCAGTCGCATGGGAATGGCTGTTGCTGTAATACGTATTGCCTGGGGCATAGTTGCGAGTGTCTGTTGCAGCACCGCGACCTTCCATTCTTTCCCGGTGGCTTATTTCAGCCTGCTTCTTCCTAAATTCGAGGAGAAACTGCTTGCCTTGATCATCGAGCTTGGCGGCAGCACCCACGAATGTCTTGTCGTACTCCAAGTAGGATTCCTGTGACGGAATCCTCGAAAGACCATTCTGTTCGTCTTCCTGCTCTTCGTCTTCTCCTTCTTGCTCCTTCTGCGCCAAGTTGTCAATCAGGTTCTGCTTGATGTACTCATTGAAGTCGTCCTCCGCATTGTACGCCCTGCTCTCTTGTTCTTCTTGTTGCTTGTCATTGGTATCGGGAGTTGCCTGACTGTTGAACTGCGTCAACAGATTAATGACAGCCCCAGATTGCTTTGGTGCTTGCTTCTTGGTCGCTGTTGTCACCACCACTGACGACGACGACTTCCTCTTCTTTTGGACCACACTTGCAGAGAGAGAGGAGCTTTCAGAATCGGCAACGCCGTGTTTCTTCTTGACTTCGACTGCTCCAGGAACCTCCCGGAACGATCCAACAGCATCATAGTACGCGGAAACCTGAACTTGATTAGAGCTGCTTTGCTTCATGAGTCGGTCACTCTCATCTTCTAATTCTTTCTTGCGCTTCGCCAATTCGTCTAGACTGTCAAACAGATCTTTCTTGCGTTTCTTGAGAAGACCAATCTCCCTTTCGTCATCATCCCTTTCATAAGCCCTATCGAGCATCGCATTGATCTGCTGCAGTTGCTGCAAACAGTTCGACTCTGAGGTACTATTGTGGAAGAGAAGGTCACGGACGTTCTTCCTTTGCTCTTTAAGCTCCGATACGGCTAGACTTGCACAGGCGAATTTGTCCTTGATTGCCACACCACGATGATATGGACCAGTGCCACCAATATCGGAAGCACGTTCCGCGGCCTTGATCTTCAATTCTTTCTGCCTGCTTGCTGCACGTCCAACCTTAGGGACATCCGTACCATCCACTGATAAGCAGCTCAGAGTCTCGCCTGAAACACCTTTGGGGCCCCAAAGAAGATAGGTAAAGTATCCAGAGAACATGTACTTGGCTGGCATCTCCTCTTCCGTGTACTCCTTCTCCGTATTCTTTGCATTAGAACGTCTTGAATTGGACCTTTTGCTCTTGGCTCCCTTCAATAGAACATACATTTTCTGTCGCACGTATAAGACAGCATCTTCCAAGCTTTTGCCAGAAGGCAACTTGCCTTGTGGACAATATTCATCGTGGAACTTTAGCGCCAATCTGTAGTTTGCCAGAGATACTGCTGCACGTTCGCCAATGTTCCTCCCTTCCAGTTCCTTTTCTCCGTTCTTTGCCAGTGCCTCTCTTGTAAAACCTCTCTCGTAGACGACGTACTTGACAGCTACACAGTGGTCAAAAGGGAAGTGTTAGAAGTTTGCTCATGTTCTCTACTCTGGCGATGTGTGCTGTACCTTCGTTGCAGCTGGCGATGTCCTTCAATTCTAACATATATCCTGATTGCCGTTCTTGGTTGCCTTCTCTGTTGTTCTCGATTGGAGTGCGGTCAAAGAGAGAAGCATAGTATCCTTTCCCCTCAATGAAGGTATCCAGGGCTGATGCGTATCCAGCGGATCCATGAAAAACTTTCTGCTGGAGCTCTTGTTGCCCCGAAGTTACCTCTCCAGATCCTTTGTCTGTCATGACAATGTCTCTGCAGTGAACTGACAGTGCATTCCTGCATTCCTGTAGCAGGTAGTCAGGAAACTTGTCTCCCATTGTCAACCTTCCTAGTTTCCTTTTGCTAAACAACTACTATAATGCTATCTCCATTCAACCAAGCTCTTGGGTAGATACGTTCTTGATGCAAAAAGTGAGGTGTAGATTTGATGGCGCCAAAAAGGGGATGTCATAATTTTAAAGCTTTCCTATTGGTTGCTGAGTGCCACATGGACACCATGTGGCGCCAGAAAGGGGATTTCGGTCTCGTTTGGCATTAGGTGCGGTGGCATACGCGACCCACATTCTCATGTGTCGGGTGTCGCGGTCTCGTTTGCCGCTAGGGTTGGCTTAAACAAACCGCAAACACGAGGCAAGAGGACACAGCCACAAAAGCCATAAAAGCCGAAGCAGGGGCAGAACGTCACATCGAGAGCCCAAGAGACGGGGAACAAGGATACCCCATGATACCCCAACGATGTGTAGGACGAAGAAAACCCAAGCTACTCTAGATAGTAGCTAGTTGGGGTGATCCTACCATGTAATGTAGCTCTCCTTTGCAGTTTGCAGATGGCTGGGGCCAGGATCTGGGTGAAGCTTTGGAAAACTCCAGGTCCACACACACAGCCAAAGAGGCCACACCAGGCACCATCCCTGGGCGTATCCCTGTCCAACTCTTGGCAGTAGTGGCTCAATTCGCTGAAGGACTACTAGCTGCCTTGACCCTACTGGTACCCCCAGCCATCCAGACAGACAGGTGCAGAACACCCTGCCAAGCAAACTCTCGAGGTTCCACTCCGAGAACAACTCCAGGACTAAAATAATGTGGTCTAGTAGACGAGGTCATTGGCACGCCCCAGGCCAACGCCTGTTACCCTGCTGCAGCCAGGAGGCAGGAAGCACCAACAACCGGACATCTTTGAGATCCACCTCCTGATTCTATCATCAGCAGTCGGCTGGCCTGATTCTATCAGCAGTCGGCTGGATGGGATAACTCCTAGTAAACTTGATGAATGGTTCGTGGAATGCAGAGCACACTGTACGTTGGCTTGCAACCTGAATCCATCTGTGCAAGATCATCTTTCAGAATGGCTTCAAATAAATCTACTACGCACGAGGAGTCGAGTCTGTCTACAAACCACTCATCATCCAATTCCTAAAACAACACAACCCCTAAAATTTATGTACCGTAGACTAATGCAATGCAACGCATGAAGCAAATTCGAGCAACCCTCTCGCCTGCTGTGTCGCTCCCTAAGAAAGAGAAAGCTAGCTCCGCCTAACTAAGCCTTGAGCGCCGCCTTGAGATTGGGGAGGGAAATCGCATGAAACACATCCAGAAAGTCATCTTCGTCATCCTGGTCGTCCTCGAAATCGTCAAGTGCGACCATGAGGGGCTTCGTGACGAGACTTGCTTCCTTGGGAAGGGGGTCCATGGACACTTGATTCGAACGGAAGGGAAAGAGACCGGGAGCCATCATGTTATTGAGGCTCATGTCTTGAGGAGGTACGCCACAACTCGAATTCATGAGATGAGGCATCGTCGTCATTTGCGGAGCCATCACGTTGCTATTCATCATCATGGCAGGGTTCATGCTCATTTGCCTCGAATAGCCGTGGCTCGGCGTGTCCATGAGGGGCATGCCTGCGTCTTCGTGATGGGAACAATCGAACGTCTCGATGAGGTCGCAAGCACATGACAGTACCTCGCGCATGGGACGAGGAGGGATGTTCAAAGACGCCCTCACCATGGCAAACGGCTGGGTCATTTCAGCTCCCACGGATGACGACGTGGATTTGGGAAGGATCGGGCGAACCGACTCCCTGATCGAGTTCGCTACCGTGATCCGGTCTTCAAGTTCTGGGGCTTTCTTGATGATTGAGCTCAACCGTTCCATCCGGCGTCTCTTCTGCTTGCTCTGCTTGCTGCTCTTGTAGCCGCTCGAGTTGGCGTCGCGGAATGCCTGTGCCGCAGAGACGCGACTCGCAAACTCGGTCAACTCGTACCAACGACCCGTGGAAAGATCTTGCTTGACAAAGCCGATTCCGTCATTGTTGTTCTTGCGAACTTGACGAATGACACCCAGTAAGATCACTGACTTTTCGATCTTGTTGTTGGTGCTCACGTAGCCTCGTAGTTCAGACTTGACAATGTTGCGGAACCTTTTATTGCCCTCGTGGGTGATGCATCGCTTACCTCGACAAATGATGACTGTGTTGTCCCCAGGGATGTAGTCTTTGGGTAGAATGCGAGCTTCCTGCTTCTTAGCGTTGGTGGTGGAGGGCGACATGGGTGAAATATCGATGGCTTCCTTGATTGCTTCCTTGATTGTAGATTATTGCAAGTATGCAAAGGCAAGTTTTGGTTTTGTGAGAGTGGGAGGAATGAAATTAAGTTTGAGCGGATTGCGTGGATCTGGTGCGTTCTCCGTTGTGCCTTGCGGTTTGCTGGTTTTTGCTTGGGCGCTCGTGCGGTACAGTCGTACCGTTCCTCCGTAGTACCCGTAGGTGGAACTTGTAGCTCCACGTTCCAGCTGTACCGGAAATCTCACTGTGAAGAGGATTGTACACTATTCGGAATACCGGAATTAACGTTCAGATCCTTCAATAGTCCTTAAATGAAATCAGCTTTTTAGAATGTCATCTCTTTTAAACAATGGTCACAGAAGAAGGCACATCAGAGGTCATCAACAAGACTGAAGTTATCCTTTCCTTCATCTGGACTTAAAGCAGTAAAAAGTGAGAAACGCCAAGATGGAACTATTATTAATACTCCAGTACTATAGTACTGAGGAACTAGACTACCTGGAGAAGCTCTATGTAGAGAACAGAACTACTATAGTATAGAGTACGTGTAGTAGAGGGTCAAGAGTCTCGGGAGTCAGGACCTTTCTATTTATTAAACTTTTCCGAATTACAGCTTTCTGAAGGATGGTGATTTATGGTGACACGAATCAGTGTCTTGATTGAACAACAAAGTTGTTCTCTGAACTACCGAAACAAGACATTCATACATGGTTGATAAATCTCAACTGGTTCACTTTTATTCACTTGATTGCTTCGACAAGCTCTTGGACAATCTCAAAGCTGGCAAGCTACAGTCGTAGCTAGATGCAGAGGGAAGGCTCTGTGGCTTTCCAGTACCGTACCACTGGAGCACAGCGCTCTTCCGCAAAGTCAAGCTGTATTGCTCCACAAGTCGCGATGTGCAGTGAGCTGTGCAGTGTACTAGGTACCGTACGGTAAGGGTTGAGCACGGTGCCGCACCAGTACCGGTACCGCAACCTGCGTCTACGAGCGGGAGACTAAACCAACTTGTGCGATACTGGTACACTGGTACCGCTTGCTTCTGTCAAAATTTTAAAATAGTCAACATGGCACCAGCACTGGCATCTTACAGCATCGCCACTGTTTCTTTGTTTCTTTTATGGCGGTACTGTATCCAACATCCAACCTGGAAGCTTCCTAGGTTAGCCACCGAACAAGCCTCAGTTAGTTGTCTGTTGTACTGTTGTAGCTAATGTAGGCTGCCTGAGGGCCTGAGTGCCTGAGTGCCTGAGTGCCTGAGTGCCTGAGTGTGATATGTGATATGGCTTTGGCTTGTTAAAGCATTTATTTTGAAAGAAACAGTGGTAAGAATGGCTTGAATTCAAAGCCTCGAGTTCGATTGGATTCCAGTTCCTGATGGCAGGCTTCCACTGCGTAGAGGCAGTCACTCTGGAGTATGCACTAGCTAGTAGATGCAAAGGTCAGAATAATATGCAAATGCGACGGACGCAACCACCGAAACAAACGATGCGCTCTCCGCAGCTTGCAGGTGACGCCGGAGATCTTGAGGAAGCAATTCCAAGAGGCTATTGTAGCCAGCAAGATGCTGTCCTTTTGCTTGGGTGGTCAGATCTGAGTAAGAGCTGAGAATGAGAAGTATGCATAACATCCACAACCGCCTTGCGTTGATGCGGGTACAGGTACCCGAGGACGATTCTTGCAAAGTGTGATTGGATATCATGTAAATTTTACTGAAAGGTCACCAAGCCAAGAACACATGGTGTCGCAGCCTGCATTCCTTCATGGCTGCCTTCAAAAGCCATGTTCAAACGTTCACACGTTCACACTCCTTCCACCTACTAGCTAGCTAGTACGTGTAATAGCTATGATACTCCACCCCTCATCGCTTTTGCTTTGTGCTTCGTGAGGTGCTTCGTGTGGCTTTCACTTTCGCTGGCTTCACGTACGTCATTCACGATTGAGTTGTTTCTGGGATTCGATTGCTCATTCGATCCTGTTCCCTGACGCAGTCCCAATAAGGATCCACCATGGCGCATCCGTCCCCGAACTCGGGCGGCTGATGCAAACCCAAACGATACACCTTTTCTTTTTGCTTTGAGCGTGCTACAGTATCTATCATCATAAAAAACAACAATACCATGAAATTCGCAAAGAGTGTAATGCTCCTCGGAGCCTTGTCTGCTTCGGCTCGTGCCTTTGTATCTCCTCTCAAGCCAACGTCTCGCGCAGTTACGTCGACCACCGATCATCACATGATTGCTTCCATTTTGGACTTGTTGGGCGGAGGTGATATGGAGTTGGTCTCTCCTGAAAAGGCGCTACCTGGTCGTTCTCAGCCAATCATTGCCAACTTGGACACACTTCGTCACTGCGTGCTGGGCAACAAAATTGACGAAGTCCCGGAAGGATTCGAGTTGGCAGTGTATGCCAATGGCTGTTTCTGGGGATCCGAAAAAGGTGCTTGGCGGTTCCCCTATGGTATTCACTCGACTGCAGTTGGCTATTGCGGAGGTTTCACACCCAACCCAACCTATGAGGAAGCTTGCTCAGGTCGAACTGGACACACAGAGGGTGTGAGGGTTGTGTATGACCCCAGTAAAGTCAGCTTTGTGGATGTCATGAGATGGTTTTGGGAGGCCCACGATCCCGCTTCCGGAATGGGACAAGGCAATGACCGGGGAACGCAATACAGGTCAGGTATTTACTACTTCAATGACGATCAAAAGCAGCTGATTGAAGCTAGCAAGGTAGCTTATGAGAAAGCTCTGGAGGAACAAACTGGTCGCGATCGTAAAATCACCACAGAGATTGCGGCTGCATCTGACTACGACAAGTACGGAGGAGTTTGGTATTATGCGGAAGCATACCACCAGCAATACCTTGCAAAGCCAGGCGCACGTCCCTACTGCAGTGCCCAGCCTCAAGGAGTTAGCTTGCCAAGTTACGATGACTGGTGTCCATTTCCCGAGGGTAGCGAGGAACGGGAAAAGTACCGACCAAAGCTGCCGGAATCCTTCTGGAAGGAGAATGCACCTCGTCGTGGATGTTCGGTTGTGAATTCGCCCAATGAACCTGTGGTACTCTAGCTAGTAGCTAGCTAGTGCGAAGGTTGGCACTGATTATTGACTACCTAGCTACATATGATGATATCCATTTGAAACAACAGGAAATAATAAACAATATGCAATAGCAAACAGTTCCCTATCTAGACCCGCACTGCAATTTATTTGACGGTTCCAATAATTTGGCTGACCAGGAACAGGCCAATTTCGAAATACCTACCAGTGAAACGAAACCATGGAAGATGGATTGATTGATCGAGGAGGCAAACATGCACAAGCATCTATCTTTGGATACACTTTCAGCAGTGCAAGCGCAAGCGCAAGTACAGTGTAGTGTTGAATATGTTGAAATGTTGGAAGAAACAGTGGACGCCGATCTCTCTACCAAGGAAAGAACAACAAATCAGTGACCTTCCAACCAAGTCATTCAACTTGGTGTATGTTCCAGTGCTCTCCCAAACCGGGAGTGACCAAAGGAACCAAAGATGGCTGAACCATCCACAATGGTTGCTTTGATCTTTGAAACACAGTACCTGGTATGCCTTCCTGGGTTCCAGTGTGGGGCCAAGCAAGTCAGTGGAGGTTTTAGGAACAATTAGCTAGCTAGCTAGACTAGTAGGACCTTTGTTGTTCCATTGACATTGACATTGACACTGACCCAAGCTCATTGCCTCCAACCTCCGAGTTGATCAGCCGAGTCATCTCCCATCCAGAGACCAGAGGCTAGATGCGGTTCATGGCGCATGGTGCATGGAGAAATAGGAGCCGAGCACATAAGGCGTGGAGCGACGTCCGAGCATGTGAATGAAAGTGCAGGTACTTCCCTAAGCCCCAAGTCTCCAGTCTCCATGCCAGCAGCGATCAGCACATAGATTAGCACTATCTGGAGCTCTGGGGTATGGGGCAAACCGGTGTCATTGACCATTCACTCCCGGATGACGATACCAGTGGCCCCGTGGGCACTTGCTCGGACCTCCGTGTACCTTTAGCCCTCGTGTAGAAACCGTACCGTTACTAAAACGACGGCCTATATCTCTCAGGCACCGTAACGTAACATGCTACCTGTGACCGGTATTCCCCAACACTCTAAGCCATTACTAGTATATGACTTAGTATTCTTGTATGAATTAAACATTTCTTGCCCCTAGGAGAAGCTCCGAAGACTGCTTGTGAAAGTAGTGATATACTCCTCCCTTGACATTAAGGTAGTCGGAGATAAGATGTCGAGTACAAAGATTTGCTGGAATGTTTAAAAGATACTTGAGACACTTAGATCTGCACTACTAGAGCTAAGATAGCCAGTAAGCACTCTCCCTTGGGCACATAAGAGATTGAGAGATGATACAATGACACTTTTCTACAACAAAATGCCTTTAAAAACAGGTACCAAAAGTAAAAAATTTCACCTCCGGCGGATGATAGACTGCTCTTTCCTCTCTTCTCCTAGGGGTATGTTCGGTAAGGTGGAAAGCAGAGTAGCAAGATTGGTATATACCATACTACTCTAGAGGATGGTCAATAGAAATGGCAAGAAGGCTAAGATGTTGCCTTTGGACCCTGAATTTTAACAATATGCTATTTTATTAACAAAATGCTAAGAAGATTCTCAGCGAAGATATTTGAGTTTTGCTGAGACGCCTTCAGGGTTCAGGTGAACTTAGAGACATCTTAATATGAAGGGATTAGTGTATGGTCGAAAATTGCTCTGCCACAGGTCTCCAAGTTGCACGGGAGTTGAGTGCTTAACACAGAGTTACAGCGGAAGCCTGCAACTTCACCCCACCCAAGAATCAATCGGCGAGAGTGCAGGCTTGAGCGGAAGTCTCACAACTTCAGAGTTTGACCGCACAACTCACAATCAAAAATCCTCCAACCGCCAACATGAATGTCAGCCCCATGAAGAACCAAGCCGAGTCCAAGGCCACTCGGAGAGCCGATCTGGTGGAAGAGATGAAGGGCGTCCCCAGCGGCAGTTCCTTTCTTCTCACCGTTCCTGGGGATGGATCCAGCAGCGGTGGATTGTTCGCTGATATGTCGGAAGAGAATGACAAACTCCTCAAACAGATCCACAGTGTGCAAAAGCTCCTTCCCAAGAAACAGCAAGAAGAGGAAGAAGAAGAGTCAGATACGAAGCAGTTGTCACGAAGAAGTGCACACAATGGTTTGCCGTCAAAGAAAGAAGAAAAGCAGGAATATAAAAGGTCTAGCAGCCGAAGGGACATGAGAGATGACTTGAAGCGTCGCAGCAGCCACAGACAGATGGGAGCAAAGTCCTCCCACAAGCAGGAACTTTCTCCCCGTCGCAAGGAACGTTCCGCTGCCCCTGCAACGGACAGACTCAAGGGTATGAGACGATGCCAAACCGTAGACACAAAGCCAACCACCGAGCCGCCCAAGAGTATGCGGCGATGCAAGACTGTAGAGCATGGAAATGCCAAACAGCAACCCGAGACGCTAGAAGAGAGTCCTTGTGATAAAGCGCCCCGAAACAGGCGTTCCCGTCGATCCATTCACTCCCCAGTAGCGGACCAAGATTCACCTATGCGACGCTCAGACCACGCAGCCAAGCGAACTGGACGCAAACAGGGTGCCGACGTGCGGAGCTCGCAGATCCATCAGGCATTGAAACTACAAGAATTGCAGCATGCCCTGGTGGATGACGAGTCTGGAACGATAGAGGAGGAAGAAGAAGAACAGAAAGAAGAACAAAAGGAGCCGCCCATGCAAGCATCTGAAAAGGATCAACCAGAAGTGGAAGGCAAGAACCTCTCCAATTCTCAATTGCAGGATTTGAGCGACCGGTCGTCCACCCATGGATCCACCAGCCCAAGAAGAGCATCTTCGATGTTGCCTTCGTTTCCCCGCATTTCCTTTGGCTTGGGTAGTGGTAAAAAAGAGGAAGGGCGTCAAAGCACGTTCCTGAATACCATGTCTTCCCTGGTCCCACAGCTCCCCGGGAGCAACTACGGGCTCATGGAGGAAGAAGAGGACGATTTTGATGTGTTCCCTAAGGAAGAATCCTCCATGGCCATGGATGACAGTGCAGTTTCCAAACAGGAAGGCGACAGCAGCCGTAATAATCATGGCGCCGCTTCTTTGGAATCGGAATCGGCTCAGGATCATGAAACGAAGAACAAGAATGAGGAAGAGGATACCCTCTGCACCTCGGCTCAAGGACGAAGCCGCGAGGACCTCATCAGGAGTCGACGACAACGAAACCGCCGAGGGAATTCAAGGAGAAACATTGCGGACAACAAGAGCAAGAGCATCTCACCACGAAGGCAGAACGGTGGAAAGCGGCAAATCAAGTTGGCTAACAACCAGCTGGTCGACGACGTCTGCGCACAGTAGTCGGAAAGATGGATGGATTAACCCTAGTCAAAGTAGTGATGATACAACACTGGTACATGTAGCAATCTGTAAATGGGTGTTGTAGCAGACCCCGGTGATCTCTGAACCTGTCTTTTTTGGTGGTGGTGGTGAACTATAGTAACAACAACTAGCCAATTTGGTAACCATGGTTGTTGTTTAATGATCCACTAGTAGTGACCACTTAGTAACATGGATGGGATACACTGAGTGCAGTCCAATTCCACCTTCCTCCAGTGATCTGCCAGTTGACCCATCTTAGCTAGCCAGTATGAATGGAATCACATATTGCAACAATGGACTCGCTCACCTCCTCACTATGTGGTGTGCCTGAGTGAAATTCACCTGCAATGAAGCTCTTTACTGAAAGAACGATGAATCACCCAACAGACCAGGTGCACATGAATTATCTCACCTGCAATCTCACAACATAGATGGACAACATGCTCTCAGAACACAGAAGCAGCTCGCCCGGTTACTCTTACAGCTCTGCTGGTCTTTATTCCCAGTCGGTACTTAGAAATCGCACTCGCTTCAGAACGCTTCTACGAAACACAGCCGAGGCAAGCAATGGCACCGGTGGCCTGGCCAGATTGAAAAGGTATCATGGTACCTGGTACTGGCTGGTACCTTTCCGTATACTACCGGTACCGTACGTGGCACGGCACGACAATAGCCAAGCTAGCTACTAGAGTGGGCCCAGCGAATGATTTGATCCCCAATCGAATTATTCAATCATTCGAAGATGTGCTCGCTGCCTGTCTATGAGATGCGTGTACCGGTACATGCAAGAAGCCGTCCAAGGAAATTCGCCGAGGAGACCAGAAGTAGAGAAGGGAGGTTGCTGTCCGCAGCCATGCAAGATCTTTCATGATGCTGGTGGCGGCACTTTCCACCTTATCGTTACAGGTTCTACTTTCGTCGTTCCACGATTTGATCTGGCCCATGACGTGCGATGCGGCAATTCGAGGTCGTGGCTCAAGGTCTCAGACCGCACAACCACATCAGACAAAGGAGCCAGAACTAGAGTGAGATGGCGCCGCAACCAGCTAGCTCGTGGACACGTAGCAGCGCATGAGAGTGGGCCCGTTCCATCGTTCCATCCCCATCTATCTAGTATGCTGCCTCTGCGTTGGATGCCTTCTGGCCTGGTTAGTCTAGGTTTTGTCGCTGTATGTTGCTCCTGGTACTGTACAGAGTACTCGTACCATACCAGAACCTTTAGAAGCTCGGCGGGTAATTATCCGGATAGCTATCCATGCCAGCCAATCACGAGTTATGCCAGCCCAAGAAAGAGATACATGTAAACATTGCCTGGCAGCAGTGGTACTGTTGACATGAGTGATCGAGGTTTATGGCAGCGTGTAAACAGCTGTACTGTAAGGTATTGGTCAACAGTTCTATGCATAGTCAGTGGTAAAGAAGGCACCAAGGGATGGCGGATGATACTGCTCGGTGGCCTTGATCTGTAAACTGGAATTCTCCATCCCCCCATACGTAATAGTACAGTACTTTACTGTGGCTGGCCAGTACCAGTCTGTGGGTCGCCCGGTCATAAACTGGAGTACTCTGGGCATTGTAATACCTTGATTCGTGTTCTGTTCTGCTGGGTGGCTAGGTTCTTGATCGTCAGCGCTGATGACCGTGCTGTAAGTGTTAGAGTGGTGCAAAATATTTCTTTAATTCCTGATTCTCCTTGGAGCAATGTACTGCGCTTCTTAGACTTTGTCCCTAAAGCATTGAGTGCTCCAGAATGCGTGTGGTCGTGACGATTAACCAGAATTGCTAAGAAACAGACCCGTTTCTGACTGGAGTATGACAATTACTGTAACAAGAGTAGTGAAGAGTCGTGCCAAAGGTGTTCAATCCACCACTGATCCAGATCAAAATGAGGCTATACCCTTTTAATAAGAACCTTCAATTTGTTTGTTCAACAATAGCCATGCTGCGAGTACAGATCTGATAGCTTTGATTCAACAGTAAATTGATCGGATTGCTTTCAAGAAACATACTTCTAAATTACAAGGTAAATTTACCAGGTACTCTCAGTTGTTCAGTTCCTCTCTGAGACTCTAAATCCATGTAGTCACAATTTTGGTCACAACAAACCATGAGCCAGTAAATCATTGAGACTGCCTAATGGTCATTAACATAAGCCTTCCAACCCAATTCCCCTGCTTGATGTGTATCCTTTTAAGTATCATAGAACCATTTCGAACGCTGATCAAGTCCCTGCTGCCGGGACCTATTGTGCGAATGCTCTGGAAATTACACATCAGAAAAATTACTTTCAAGAGAATTATAGTAAATGACCGAGTGCTGGCTTTAGTGCAATCATTGTTAAATCTGGCAACTAGGAGTCCAAAGGACGTAGCACTCCAAGATCCCAGCGCCCCAGTTGGCATCCGCAGATGGTTGTGACTGCATCTCTAAATCTTTGGCATGCTACCTACTGTGGGTTGGACAGTAAGACGACAAAGGTGTAGTCTTGTAGTCTTGGGGCTGCTGCTGTGGTCGAGCTTGTGCTGGCGGTGCTGTAAGTTAGAAGAAAGCAAGCTCACAATTGAAGGGTAAAAAGTGTAAAGCAAGAGGGTTCTGGTGGCTGACAGAGTTCGCAGTACCAGTACTTGGAGAAGGGAAGGACTTGCTAAAGCTCTATCACCACATCACCACTGCTAGTTAGCTAGGCCACTATAGGATATCATCCTCCATCGGCGTTCTTGTTTTGCCATCACACAGTCGCCATCGAGTAGCACTGCACATACATAATCGCATCCGGAAGGGGTAGTTGGATTGCCATTGCTTCATTTCTCTCCTCATTTGCATCCAAGGCTGTAACCAACCACAATAATACAGTAGTATCATGCATTCGTCGGCGTACAATCATCATCCTTACCACTACCATGAGCAGGCCATGGGGGGCAGTTCTCGGCGGCAGCTCCATCATGAACCTCACCACCAATACACTGTGCGAGAGGAATCAGAGGAAGACCACCACCACCACCACAGACGTAGTAGTAGTCGACACTTGGATGAAGAGTCAGTTGTCTCCGAGTCTCGTTTCATGAGTGGGTCCAATAGAGACTACGATCAGGCTCCTTCCATTCATGTCGTCAAGAGTCGAGGAGATTTCGAAGATGATCGCTCCGAACGGTCCTTCCAGTTGGGCGTAGATCCCATCGAACGAGACTGGGGCGATGCCAGGTCTCGAGATTACCGAGGTAAGTAGATACATACAAACAGGAACAAGAGATCTCGAGAAAGTTCGAACTGGACACGTGTCGCTCACTCGCTCCCTGCTACTCTTTGTCACAACAACAGGAGCTCCCTTGAACCATCGCTCGTCTCGTCACAGCAGCAACGAGGGCTCCATGCATCGCCACAGCAATGCCACATACAAACCACGTCGATTGGACGAATATGCCGAGTGCGACGAAGCAGACTTTTGCCGTCGTAGACCGCTGCAAGAAGAAGGCGATCCCTACTGCGATGGTGATCGTGGCGGCGCAGAAGGAGACACCATGGCAACTCGGTCCTTGACCAACAGCTCGTATTGTTCACATCGCTCGTCCATGTCACAACAACAACTACACAGGCAGCAACACCATACACAGCAGCAACCGCAACAGCAGCAACCCTATCATCCTCCGCCGCAACACCGACACCCGCGGGCATCCTTAACGTGCCGATACGGGGGTTGTTCGTTGGATCAGGGAGAACAAGCGCGACCTTCTCGTCCCGACAACGGTCACGCGCCGCCGCAGCACAGGAGAAACACGCCCTACCGAAACCTGACTTCCTCCAGTACGGGATCTTCCAGCGGCATCATCTCGGACTACGACCGACGCCTGTCTTCCAATGTCTCCTCTTCCGGGTCGTCCGTTTGCTCTCGCAGCGCCCCCGCACGACGAACACCCATTCCCAGAGAACCATCTCTCTATCAAGCCAACTCATCTTGTCACTCCTCCAATTCACGACGAACCTTTGAATACCGCCGTAGGTCCACGGAAGACTATCATCGACGAAAGGATAGTGGACACGTCATTCCCGCAGAACGAATGGACCAAATCCTCATTCAGCAGCAGAAGCAGCAGCAACACTATCCTCGTGGTGGACGACGAGCGTCGGATCCGACTCATGGTTGTCAGAATAGCAATACTTCCGAAGCTGTCATGGTCGATATCGCTCCTGGTGTGCAAGCGCCGCTTCGGGGAACACAAGAAACATACAAAGCAGTCTCAAAGGACTACTACGCCAATGTCTCTTGCTTCGGATGTAGCATGGAACTCTGCTGCATCGCAGACGTGTCATACGTGGTGTGCCCAGAGTGCAAGGTCATCAGTCCTTTGGAGGGAATCCTCTTTGAAGGAAAGGAAACACAGCGACATGGACTGGGGCTTGGGTTCTCCTACGAGTCTCTATTCCAGATGCAAGTAGAGATCATGAAGGAGCGCAAGTCTCCTCGATGAGCTGAGCTTGCCCTGTACCGGTACCTGGTTGTGCCTGGTTGAAGCATCCATTCCTTGTAGCTTCACGTAGTAACTAAAAACTACCAACTGTTACTACAATACAGCAAGTTTCTAGCTAACATTTGTCATCGATACCTAAATGCTTGTTGAGAAGCGTAGCGGATGCATATAATTACCGCATCTCTCAAGCAGGTATCTGAAATAGAGTCGTACCCTTCGAATTAATAATGATGGGTTTAGCTCTGATTGTCACTCGACTGTTCCAACTGATCTTGATCATCCCAAAGAACAGGAGTTATCACATCAGACTCTCGGGCATACCAAAAGTCACCGGTGTCTAGACATTGAAGCTGAAGCGAACGTTCGTGAGGACTCGTGAAGGCAAAGACAGACTCCCCAACAACCTGTGCGCGTCGTCGCTCATAAAGCTCCTCAGCACGAACGCATGGATTCCGAAACATCGCATCCTGTACTAACCACACCATGCTGCCAATCTCTGGTCTGGCAGGACGAACATATTTTGGCTTCGTGGGAGCCTTCATGTACCTGCTGACTTTCGGTTTTGGTCGAGGTCGAGGTCTCACTGCGTCAGGGTCATTGACGTGGGGCTTCTTTGCTCGTCGCGCTTTGGACGAATGGTTCTCAGCGGGGTTTTGATTGCCATTGCACGAAGCACTATCGATCCGGTTTCCGGACTCATCCCGCTTTCTGGCCATGGGCTTGGCAACTGGTTGCGCACTACTCCTAGGCTGCTGTGGATTGCGTTTCGACTGGGCTTGCTTCTTGTTCGCCTCGTCGTTCTCGGATTTAAGCCGTGCTCCTACGGGCCTTCCAACACTTGGCGATGAACCAGACTTTTGAGCGTTGACCTCGCAGACTTCTTCAAGCTTGGCAAAGCCTTGCAGCGTTTTGGGTTGGGTCCGTCGCCGTGTGGATCGACGAGTACCTGTTGTCGAAGCTGAGGCGTCGCTATCGACCGCCAGATCATACCGAATACTGCGTCTTGATACTTCTTCTCGCTCCTGGCTGTCGCTCCATTGCACAAACACAAAACCAGCGTTTAAACTAAGCTCGTTTGCATGCTCGTCCAGAACAATGCGCGCCGGAAATGATCTAAACAAACTATCAATGAGAACGACGGAACAATCGGAAAACGTAAAAGCTTGCTTCTGCACTTACCCGATACCTCGTTCCACCTGAACACAACCACCCAGGTCTTTGGATTTCATCGGGAACTTCTTGTGCTTCCTTTTCTTAGGAGACATGCATCCTTCAGGGTCTTGCTTGATAGTGGTCTTCGCTTCGAGTTTCATCACACTACTAGTATTTGTTTTATCCCCAATGGAGTGATCGTCAACGGTCCTCTCTTCAATCTTGATGTCACTCTTCTTGTTGGATGCGCCATTTGTGAATTTTTGTGAGCTGCTTGTATTGTCTTCCTTCAAGCCGCTGGTACGATGGCTTCGAGTAACCCTCTTCTCTAATTGGTCGACCGCGACAGCTGATTCAGAGTCAACCTTGTCTCGAATTGGCATGGCGGCTCTGTGTGATGAAACATCATTGGTCTCACCGGGTTTGGCTGCCCGTGCTCTACCATTGGATGCATTGTGTACTGGTGGATTGTTGCCACCAGGTGGATTGGCTTGCTTTGTCCCATCGGTCTTTGGGTTTGTTCTATTGACAGTATTCAGAATAGCTGGTTTCGTGCTTGAATCGTTACCCTCCTTTTTCTGGGCTGTGGGTTTACCAATGTCCGGCTTTGAAGGGAGCTTTGCGGCTGGCTTTTTATCCAGATTGCTTGTCGTTTTGGACGGCTTCGGCGACGTTCTACTGCGGGGCAAATGCAACTCCGGTTCCATTGTCTTTCGGCGCTTACTGTTGTTTGTTTGCCTGCCGGTGGACCTTGTCCTGGTTGAAACAGATGTGCCCGTGCTTTTTCGAAAAGATTGTCGGTCTTTCATAGAAGCAATAATAGCCTCTTGTATCATTGCCTCCATCTCAGAATCACTGCTCTCCAATAGAGGAATCGGATCGTCTTTTGTAGCTGCAGCAGTTCTCTGAGGCGTCGTTAGATGTTTCCCACGCGTGGTCACCACAGGTACTTCATCCTCCAATTCAACTGGTTCATCTTGGGTTCCTGGTGCAGTCAAGGCAAAATTGTTGTTGAGTGGAGGATGTGGCATAGTGCGGCTGCGACTGAGACCGCGTGAGACAGCACTGCCATTTAAAGAAAGTCCTGTTGTTTTGGTGGCACCCCGATTGAGGTGTTGCCGACGCCTCCTTCTTCTGGAAGGGAGGGAAACCGAGGACTCAGATGAGGAGTCATCATTGTGATTTTGATTGTTGTTTCTTTGTCTTCGGGCGGCTGGGATCGCAGCTACTCCATCAGAAGCAGCAGAAGAATTGGTTTCAACTCCTTTCTGACGGTTGTTTCTGTGTCGAGTTTTTCGTTGGGTGTTCTCACGTAAAGACCGATTGCCATAGGGAAAGTCCAGAATCTCAACAACATCGTCGTCCGACGATAATACTGAATCTGATGATGTTCTTGGCCGTCGCCTCCGAGTACCGGTAGTGCTACTTTTGTAGCGAGGCGACTTGGACTTGGACGTACCTGGAGGAGCCATGATGTTTTTTCAAAATAATGACAAACTCTCTTTCTCGATCTGCTCTCTCTCGAAGTCTCTCTCTTTGAACATCTATCTAACACACAGGGCGCCACTTCCGGTACCGAGTTGTTGCGTTGTACTCCTCAGGGACGCTTCCTTCAACAACCTCGATGACACCAACCTCTTCGAAGCAATGACAGCGTAGTACCGGTAGGCAGTGTGCTTTGTGCTTTTCTAATGGTAAGAATAGCGGGAGAATGCTCTAAAGTACTAGCTAGTACGGTTTTACGGTACTCGACCCGAGGATTTAACACATCAACGACTCGACGGTTTGGCTCAACGCAAAGCACGATAAGAAGGCAGAAGAGCTGTGAAACCAGGCTCAGTTCTTCTCCCGGCAGAACCACGGTGAATCTCGCTCCAGGTATTTTTCATTCTTGGAGACCAATTGCTGCTACAACGGTCAGGTTTGCTGGCATTCGTTGGAGTTTGGCCGTGTATTGGCATGGGCCTGAACTAGATGAAGTTGGGCCAGTTGTAGATCCCAGAGTAAGGCTGGTGGTAAATCAGGTGTTAGGCCATGTGCTGGGCCAGATGCAACCAGTCCAAGTAATAATAGTTTGGCAAGGTGTGGGTCCATCGCGACGTGGAATAGTCCAAAGGCCTGTCCTGGTGTTGGGCAAGGCAGATGCGGCCAAGTGAGGGCTCATAGACGGTCCAGGGGAGGGGGGTAAGGTGTTGCTGGAGTGGGATCGGCGTTGGTGCTGGAGTTAGGAAGTGTGCGAGTGACGAGGGAACGGCTCCAATCGCATTCTTCCAAAGTCAAACCTTAAAAACTACCGAAAGCTCAACCGTTGGCATTCTGTACTCTCCTTGTAAATGTGCCAAATGAAGCATTTTAATCTTACTATTGGCTACTTACTTGTCACCCAAGGGATTCTGAGTCATCCACTTGGGCAAGAACTCAAAGGGATCACCATCGTAGTCACCAAAGTTGTTGTGTTTGACGCCTGCCTTCTCCAAGAGAGGTTGGAGCTCCCCTTTTTTCCACATCATGCAAGCGTCCACCGCCCCACCCTTGAATTCGCCATCGACAAAGAATTGAGGAAAGGTAACACATTCCGTCATCTCAGACAAGGAGGCACGATACTTGTTACCCATCTGGTCTTTGGCATATTTGAAGTTGTCGATATCGATGCGGGTATAGGGGACCTGCAAACGATCCAAGAACCGAGTAAGCGTCCAACAGAATTCGCAATACTCTAACGACCAGACCAGGATCTTATTCTCTGAGTTTTGTTTCTTCACAAAGGCACGAGCTTCGTCGGTTGCTTGTGGCAGATCTGGAGGTGGCGGGGCCATGCTGGGAGTAGAAGCAGCTAACTCCTTCTCTTCTGGTGTCATATCAGCTGGAATGCCGTCAAAGAGCGGGGTAGACATGTATCGTTCCGCAGTATTGCGACGGGATACAGCTTACAATTCAGCTTTACAGCTTTACAATTAGCAGGCTTATTCTAGAAAATAATCAATAACTGCTCCTTATTTGAAATACAAACTTTACATCTCTTAGATCGTAGATTAATCATACACAATGGTATTGTCGCATGGTAGCAGCGTGGTTATGAGATGTTACTCATTCTTATTCTTAATGTCTATCCCTATGGTTGTCAATGAATGTGACTACTCCTTGATGCAGATGCTCGAGTTTCCTCTGCACTCTTCATCGGTAGTCTTCCCCTTATTGCAATTTAATCCTTGGATTCGCTCGTAAGCAATCCTCCTTTTTTTGGTGATTCGCTCGTAAGCAATCTCCCATCTCCTGTCGTCGATCGAAATCGCGATGAGGATCCTATATCGTCGATCGGCCGAGTTAACAGAGTTAACAGCAGAGGTCGCGATCGACAAGTTAACAAAATTCATCGAAAGATGAGATCCGTCTGCATATATGCGGATCGGCTTGTGTGTCATGCATTGAGTCTGCTTGAGTCATGCTTCAGAGTATTTCCTCTCTATTATCGGTTCGAACTGCCTGAGTCATGCATGGCTTATGTCTTCGAAGAAAACTCCTCACTTTTTCATTAACTCGAGAACAACAATAATACGTACGTATGGTACCCCAACGAGAAAAAACAATCTCGCTCGTGCTCGTGATGTTGTTGTTGCAAACGACCAATGCCGGTCCTGGTAAGAGACCAACTGCCGATCGACCAACAGCCACATGAACAACAACGAGAACTGGCTTGCAGTTGTTGTTGCGCCGATTCGCCGACTCCGTGTCATTCAAACGACCGATTCGCTAGCTCGTCCAAACGACCAACTGCAAGATCGGCCGACCGATTCGCTAGCTCGCTGTTTGAACGACAACTCGACGATCGGTTGAACTGGCTTGCAGTTGGTCGTTTAAACGACGCGAAGAACAACAACAATAAAGCTCATAAATTCCATCTTCGATTGACTCGATTGACTGGATATCCCTTCCACGCTCTTGCTCCTCCTCCTGTTGCCGTGTTGCCATTGCCATTGCCGCTCCTCTGTTGACCTTGATTGCCGCTCCGATTGCGCTCTGTTGACCTTGTTGATTTTCACTGCTCCCATTCCATCAGCTCCTATTGATGGACCTACGACCTTCCTCTGATTGCATTCCTCATCTTCAACTACAACTCCTTCAACAGTACCAGCGCGCCCATTCTTCAGTCCTCGAGGAATTGTCAAGCTTTCTTTGAACCAATCCCATAGAGGCACCATCGGCCAACCATGACTGCAGCACCATTGACCGCAGTTCAATTCCAGGAGCTCCTCCAGCACATTGGAAAACCAAAGAGAAGACCAGCTTACAGAAGCCCTCGGCTTGGAGGTATAACAACACACTGGAGCCTGGACAGGATCTGGCTCAATGGACTGGGAAAGGAACTCAAAGCACCCTATGCCTCAGGGGTTTCCATGGTGACGACCATCTGAAACATCACACCCACACTCCAGCCTATCGAATGGCATGCAAGAAAGGACTGAAGGATTCCCCCGTCTCCTTTCTCTACTTTGACTGAGTCAAATGCCTCTGGGTCCCATGTTTTAGCCTCTCTCATCGCTTTTGAAAGTATGATGACTGAACATGGAATGGAAGGGGTCTTCCAGCTTGTTGTTGGAGATCTCAATACCAACACTATTAATACAATCAACATGTTCACTGCTCCTGGACAGGTCTCAGAGTCTATGATGGAAAAAATGCATCAGACTCACAGTAAATGGGGTCGGACTCATCGATGTTGGAACTCTGAAGCAACATCCTGTTGCCAGTATGATCTAAACAAACTTGCCTGGTCAGGGAAAGGCTGTCTAATCTTCACTGATGCCCAGGAAGAACTCAAATCAATGTTCCTCGAGCAAACACAATGGGCCCAACTTCTCTTGGCTTCTTCTGCAGAAAATATACAAACCTTCTCTCAGAAATTGAACCCCTCAAACCAAGCTACTTCACTTGGACATCACCAAGTTCCCTGGGAAATGTTTCCATGTATGTTGTCGATGCAAGAAAGATCATCAAAGAGATTCGATTAAACTTTATGTCCAGTGATCCCATGCCTGAACTAACCAGCACATCTCTTGAGAGTCTCCTTGGCTGTTGGTTGTCCATACTTTCGATCCAAAGTCCATGAGCTCGTTGTCAAGAGCGAAATAAACGGATTTGATAGCAACTATGGGAACAAACAATTGGAAGCACTCGACACTGTATGACTTGGATGCCCTCTTACGGCTATCAACAGATATAGCCACACTTGAAAATCCCAAAGCCTTCCAGCAGCAATTGACAAAGCGGTTGAGGCAAGTGTCGGGAGTCCACCCAGGATGAAGAACCAGAGGATCAACCAGGGGAGTACCCGTCCTCATGGAGGAGCCTGCTTTGATCTGTAGGAGCTACTGATCATCATAGAAACGATCCAGCAGTCCCAAGCGAGGTGCTCCAAAGGACAACGGTCTGATTGCTGAAACCAATTCCAATCTCACAACTCTTATAAATACAATCTTGCTTCCATGCACTCCATAGGGAGAACATTCCCGATGATGCCCAACACACCATTTCTGTTGGATGGGAAGGTAGGTTGCTTAATACTGTCGCAATGTGGAAGTCTCCAAGGCACCAGGTCTCATTTCACCAGTGAAAATCGTGGTTTCCGCAGTTTCCTTAAAGGCACCCTCTTCTGGTGACAGCTACCTCCACCACCAAGCTGCTCCAGCTGCTCCAGCTTATGCTCCAATTCACTGCTGGGGCAACTTTGCTTCTTCCCCATGGGATTACCTATGTCCGCTCTGATGTCCCTGTTCTAGCCACTGATGGTTTATACACGCCTCCCAATGTTGGGTATGATTTTCGATTCCATGCAAGTATCAACATGGCAACAGTAGATCTCAGTTCTTATGAGACCTCGCTCTTCTTTCGCTCACTCAATGGGGCTTTCATGTGATGCTTGGGCAGAATAACACACTTGGAAACAGTGTTTCTCATTGCCTATTTTTTTGCCCAATTGTGCCTTTCTATCTCGTGTTCTATTCTTCTTTTTTTTTTTTAATTTTTTTGTTGTGTGATGTGTGTGAAGTAAAGTTGTTGTTGGAAGATTTGATTTCTCTACGTTCTGACATTTATCAAATACACTTCGAATTCTATCCCTGATTCTTGGAGGTAGCAACCTTTCTTCATTCTCACCGCAAAAATGGCTGATTTTGTCTCTCCTCCCATATCTTCCCCCGCCATATCCTCATTGGCCTCC